TAATTTTTTTTTTTTTTTTTTTTTTTATAAATAATGTGGGCCTTTTCTGACCGTTGGCAACGGTCTTATGCCCTTGGGGCCGTTGCCCAACGGCAGATTTGCACAAATAGCCCATTTTTGTTTTTTTTTTAAAAATAAACACCTTTTGTAATTACCTAATTACCCCTTTGAAAAATTATAAATACACCCCCTCTTCTTCATTTCTTCACTCATCTCTCATTTCTCAAACTCATATTCTCAATTCAAATTAAATCATGCCCCGTACTTCTAGAGTGCGCTCATATGTTTGGGAACACTTTGAGGTGGTTGAAGAAAATGAAGAAGCTCAGAAAGTAAAGTGCAAGAACTGTGGTCTAGTCTTAAATATTCGTCCAAAGTGTGGCACAGGCTCTTTAAGGAGGCATATGAAGAATTGTCTTGAGTGTCCTCCAGAAATTCGTATTTAAGTTGATTTGAGACAATTTGTGTTATTTTAAAATTATTAAACGTATTTATGCTTAATGTTTTAGTTTGTTAGATTAATTTGAAGTATTATTATGCATGAAAATTTAGTTTTACTCTTTTTTCGTTAATTTACTTGTTAAATGCAAACTTCAATTTTGTAATTTTGAAATAAATGCAGAACGTGCAATTTTTTCCCATCTTCATTGTATTCTTTATATTTTTACTTTATATTAATATAACTTACAATAGTTATACAAAATACAAAAAAAAAAAATTAAAAATTACACTAACCCAGCCCGGCCCCTTATACTCGTAATCCTTACGGTTCATTTTTTACCCGGATGAACCCGATCCCATTAAACCCGGTAAGCCCCAACCCGTAACCGGCCCGGAACCCAACCCGTATGGTTACTAATTTTTCCTACCCAGCCCGGCCCGGCCCACCCGTTAAGACACCCTTAAGTGTAATTGGTCGAGGTATGATCAAACTAAGGGTGTTAAACGGGCCGGGTCAGCCCGGTTCCGGACCGGCTCAGACCGGTAGAACCCGGAACTGGCCCGGACCGGTAAGGGAGGGCTGGGCTGGGCTGGGTAGGGGGTTGGGGTGGGTTTGGACGGTTTAAATTTTTGAAACGGGTTACCCGGCCCGGTAAAACCCGTTAGATGAACAGTGCCGTTAAACCGGTTAACCGGCCCGGCTCGGACCGGCCCGGAACGTGAATATGACATGAATATACCGTGAATATACCATGAATATACCATGAATATACTATAAATATACCATGAATATACCATGAATATACCAATTATTGTATACTAATTAACATAATTTAAAATTATTGGAATTTAACATATAGTGTATATATTTAGGGTATAAAACTATAAATGCTCAAATCATAGAATATGATGGTAACGTATTATTTTTAAAATATGCTATATATGTGTTATTTTAAGATTTTAAGACAATTTGTGTTATTTTAAATTATTAGACGTATTTATGCTTAATGATTTAGTTTGTTAGATTAATTTGAAGTATTATTAATTTATTATGCATGAAAATTTAGTTTACTATTTATTTGTTAATTTACTTTTTAAATGCAAACTTTAATTTTGTAATTGTGAAATAAATATAGCACTTGCAATTTATAAGTGCAATTTTTTCCCATCTTCCTTGTATTCTTTATGTTAGTACTTTGTATTAATACTATAACTTACAATATTTATACAAAATCAAAAAAAAAAAATTAAAATTATACTAAACCCGGCCCGGCCCCCTCAACCCGTAACCCTTATGGTTCAAATTTTACCCGGATGAACCCGAACCCGTTAAACCGTTAAGACCCAACCCGTAACCGGCCCGGACCGTTACCCGTACGGGTCCAAAAAATATAGGCCCGGCCCGGCCCACCCGTTAAACACCTCTAGCTCAAACTGGCCTGGACAGTACCATTATTAAAAAAAAAAAAAATTTAAGCAAGAACTGATGCATCTCAAGTACTTGAATATCATATTAAAATGAAAGGTTAAAGTTCTTTCTATTTTCCTGATATAAGCATGACAGAACAAAGTAAAGTACATGTTATATATGTTTTCATAAATTAAGAAATTTCAAAAACGCCAGTACATTGAATAAGTAATGCTGAATATTTATCAAAAGTGTAAACATAAAATGATTATGTCTTCTTATCGTTACAACAAGAAATGATTTATAGAAAGTTATAATTCTGATCAATATTAACCTTACACGTTGCTCTAAAGTTTCAAAAGGGTGTCCGTGAGTTTCAAACACATCTTGAGCAAATTGTTTTGCTTCAGAAGTGTCAGATAGCTGTTCCTCTTCTTTTATCATTGTTTTCTGTGCAGGCTCTTCATTCAATCATTTCATAAAGAATTACTAAAGCTCTTTTCTCTTGAGTACAGTTCGGTTGAAATCAGTTCCTCACTTGCAGCGAAACAGATTCAAACTATTGGCGAAGTTGATAGCCACTCATCCAAGTTTAGAGTAGAGTGTCGTGATGCTGCGGACAGGAGTGGATGGGGTATGATGCTTTTAATTATCTGACCCTGTTCTTTATCTTTGCATTAATGCATAGCAGTTTAATTTATTATGCACACTGAAGTTTTCTTGTTGAAGCAGGAGATGTGAATGAACAACCTTGTTGGGTTATCATGTTAGAGGTATGGCTACTTTCTCTATTTCTTTTGTCTGTAATGTTCTTCTCTAGGAAGATATGGTGTGCATTGAAAGTGACGACTGGCTTCCTTACTTGGTTAATGAAGCTCAATCATGATGAGGGAAATAAGGTAGTTGGTGAAAAATTGACTCCTCTTAAAATGCCGATTACAAATATATGGCATGCTTCAAATGAGCACTTTACGAATTCTACAGGAACAGAATGTCAATTCTTGTATCTTGGTTTCTGCAATACCATAAAACTCTGAGCCTGAAAGGTTCTGTCATAAACTTTATTCATTGATCTTATTAACGATCGAGTAATCTTTTAGGTGCTTGACAATCTTCCGCATGATCTCATTTACTCTGAGAATCAAATTTCTCCATGGACAGAAGTGTGGGTTGAAAGCAAAGAAGGGTAATTCACTTTATACTGTTGAAACAGCATAATGATGTTTGTACTCTTTAATTTTTTTTCTGCTAAGCAAAATTTTACATTTTTGACTGAGATGTTTCTTCGACAGTATATGGGTTGATAGCCTTATGAATGTTGCTAACAATGTAGTATTCGCACAAGCATAGTTATCTTTGCCTTTTGGTTGATAAATCCTGAGAACTAGTAATAGAAGTAGCAGTAAATATTGCTTCTTTTTCATAAGGATCTCTTATGCCACTCCACTCCATAAGAATATGGGAAAAAGGGAACTACACAAAGAAGTAAGAGAAGATAAGAGAGATATTTTTGCTTTATAGCGGGATGTAGCCTGATATTAAATCATTTCGGATTGGTGATTTTGTCCATTAGTAGTAGGTATGATGGCCAAGCAAGATTGTCAAATCTGCATATAATGCTAAAACACGTCTTTGTCTTCGTTTAACAGGGAAAAACTCTCAGAGTTGTATAGGCCAATTCAAGACTCCTTAATCAAGTCTTGCATGGAGATCGTAGATATGGCTGATGCTACAAGGGGTGGGAGCAGGGTTTCTTCAGCGATGAAAAGTATATGGGCAAAAGTGTTTCCTAAGCCAAGATGGTTTTGGCTTCCCACTGGTTGCTTGGTAATAATTCTGCAATGTTGATTGAGCTCTTTCCTCAGTTTAGGTTAACATATTAAATGCTTATGCTTGGGAAAAAATATCATATACTCATGCAGTGCTACTTCCTAAAATTCAGAAACTTCTAGAAGTTTTACATGGAGCTTTACCGAAGATGTCTTTAATTGCTTCCGATTTCAGTTATCTACCTGATGTTAAAATTCCTGGTGAAAGAGCTCCTCTGGTTTCAACCAAGGTACATTTCACTTTTTCTCCTTATGCCATTGATTTTCTGCCCTTCAGTGTAGGCTCTCTCGATCTTTGATTAATACTCGTACTGCTAAAACATCTTACTCAAATTAGTTTATCAAACAAGAAAAGAGTGTATTTTTTGGAGGGAAATTACCAGCTATGTCCATTTATAGGTAGCTCATTACAAAAATTGACCAATTGATAAAATATTACTAATATTAGCCAAATTAGCCAATTAGCTATTTGTAGCAAAAAAATATCAAATTTTTGCTTTGTTTTGAGTGGGTGTTATTAGAATAGATTGGGCACAACTTAAGGAGCTTGAATCTCAGTTTTGGGATGATTTGGTGAAGTTTTGAGGTGGTTTGTATTGAAAATTCGAAGTAAAAGCTGAACATGAAAAAAATGATATGTGTATCACACTGTGTATCATTTGTGTATCATATTTGTATCAATTGTGTATCACATGTATATCCATGTATACCTGTGTGTGAGATACATGCATGATACATGTTTGATACATGTGTCGCAGAAGACTTTTTTGAACTCGATTTAATTATAAATTTTGATACAATACCACTCCAAATCACCTCCAATCTTCCTCAAATTTTGTATATTGACTTATCTATATATTTTCAATGAATTTCAACTATACCCATTGAAAAAGTTTCTTTTCTGTTTAGATTTTTGGAATATTTGTATAGATTTTTGTATTTCATCACCTTATTTGCTACCCCGTCCATGAAATTTCTTTTCCGTCTAGTATCTAATGTTGCTAATCACACTTAAAAATATGGAAGGTGATTTTTGCATGTGATTCTTTGAGAGAAAGAACCCTATTATTTGGTTTTTCCAATTTTTGTTGGCTAGTTTTGGTAAATCTATGACTAATGGCTAGAGGTTGGTAAGTTGATATTTATTTGGGACATTTGTGTAAGTTTCCCTTTTTTGGACTCCTAAACCCTCTAACAATTAAAAAAAGAAGAAAAATTACTAGAGGTAGAAGAAACTGTACATACCCTCATATATGAATACATAGCATAGCTTTAATTTGGAAGTTGGAGAAAGTTGTGTTTTGGAATCCAAATTAAGGGTAGCGTGATGCCAAGAATACATGACAGCAGAAGTGATGCAAGAATAAACAGGAAACCATGGTAGGAGAAGGAGCGTATAGATCCACCATTTCTCATGTTCTATAGGCTTGATAACTCAGAAATCTCTGAGGGATAGTTGCGCACCGGTTGGAACTCGGTGAATAATGGGCCCCACCCTTCTACACTTTTCCTCTTAAATACCAGGCTTTTTGCCTGTGGTGGGTTTGAACCTGTGACATGCGCCCAACCTACGCATCACAAGCTACGCTCTTACCATTAGACCAAAGCCCTGGAGCAACTTCGTTTTATCATTAAATTTAAGTCAACTAGCTGGTCCGGTCTATAAATATCCTTTTGCAGAACCTGGATATTCTTTAAAACCTTAAACTGACAAAAAAGTCACGCTCTTACATTTTTGAGTGTCTAGTGGTTAAATTAGTGAGTCGCAAGGCAAGTTTGGTTGGGTGGTGGTTGTTGTGTTAGAACTGTTTCACTATTCTTCAGACCTTCTGAAAGCATGTAGGTTACAAATGTATCTGTTTAGTATCGGGATTGAAAAGGAAAAGATTGGTATCAGAACCACCAATGTGAGTGTTGATTGCAATGTTTTTCATTTACGTGCATCTCCACTTGATTTATTTTTTGGCACTTACCCTTGTCTTGCAAAATGTCACATGGAATAATATAATCCTCTGTCATCTTAAATGGCAAGAGCTTGCTTTATGTATTTTCTCCTTTTAGGCTTTTTTATGATAACAAGTTAACATAATTCTTATAAATTCATTTGCCTTTTGCATATCAAATAAATGCAGAAAGATGGCAGCAGCTCTGATTACAACAGTTATTTGGATGCAAAGGTGATCTGATCCTTATCTTCTGTATTCCTCCCTGGATTTTATCATGAAATGTTGTTTATAAGAGGTATTTGTATGTTGGACTTTCACTCCAGCAGAGAGAGAGACCAGAGTACTGTGTTTTTTTTTATTATTTCAGCCTAGATTGTATATATAAATGCTCTTGGGGCAATATTTTCTACATACTTACCAAACACCGGAAAGTAAGTAAGAAACCACTTATTTTCCAGGAAAATGTGAGTGGAAAACACTTCCCTTCATACCAAACACGCCCTAAGCCACTGCTGCACGTACTTGTTATCTTAATAATCTTTTAATTAACTTATGTAGGACTGGTGTATTCACTCGATGTTTCAATCATTATGCTCCTGAACATGTGAAACTTTGAATGTCTATTGTGTAATAACATCTGTACTTGGCTGCAATGTTTTATATTTTCTTATTTGCAGGGGGACGCCGACATATTCTTTCCAACAGATTTTTTGCTCTTGGAACAGATGGATCATTACTGCTCTGGGTGGATGAAGCAGCAAAAAGATGACACGTCATTGAAGCGGGGAAAGAAAAGACGTACTCTTTCGGTAATTCCTGCTCTTCAGCTGTGAGAAACCAAAGTTCTCCTCTATTTCTCGTTGGTTTATATTCATTCATGTAAACGTTTGTTGTAGCTCGATACAGCAGCGTTCATGGAAGAATTTGGTCTCCCAACAAAGACGAGAACTAAAGATGGATATAACCCTCTCCTGGATGACTTCAAGAACACCAAATTTTATTTGAGTGTTCCTACGCACAACATCAAATAGACTAATCCCTTTTCCTCTTCTATAGCAAGGGCGTCGAAGAGGCATGTTAGACAGTGTAGAGAAGACACTTTTCAGTGTGGCATAAATTGATAAAACATATTGTACAAGCTTGAGTTGAGCATCTGTAACAAAGCCTAAAGAGGTTGGAGTTACAAAGTTCTTGATGTTCTTTTATAGCAAAGGGAGCATGTTTGATCAGATTAAGAATGTTTGTGGTTCTTGGTTCCGGGTAGGGGTGTCAAATGGGACCGGCCCAACCTTGAGCTGGTTGAACAGCTTAAATGGGTTTGGGCTCAAATTGCCACCCCTAGTTTCCGGCGTGTTAACGATGGTATCAAGAGCTGAGAATTGTAGAAGACATTGATATTCTTTATGCTTCAGACTCTTTAGGGTTACTGATACATTATTGTGATAAGAATTGGGGTAAGTTCTTTAGTCAAAATAAATTTGATGAAAGTATGATAAATTTAAAACATGACTACACATCAGAGAGTTCTTTGTAACAACCAGAATTCTAACACAGGCAATGTGTTTTTTCTTCACACTTACCTATATGGCCCTATCTACAGGAAATAATGAGAATCTTGTGGTTTCTGTGTTATGTTCTTTTATTTTTCAAAGATTTTGTTTTATATAGTACCCTTTCAGGCTGGTCTTATCAATTCTGTTTTAGATTTTGGTCTATCAAACCAGTTGCTTAATGTAAGCATTGTGGAAAGATAAGTCCCAATCAGGCATTGTAATTTTTATATTTTAAATATTTTTAACCTTAAACAGAGGAATAGAAAAAAAAGATTCATTAAATCTCTAGAACTATCAAATCATTGTTAAGCATGTGCTTTATAATGGATGGTCCGGTGCACAAAGCTTCCGCTATGCGCGAAGTTCAGGGAAGGGCCACAAGAGTTTATTATATGCAGCCTTACCCTAAATTTCTGCCAGACGTTGTTTTCACGTTTCGAACCAGCAACTTTAGTAGTTACACCAAGGCACCCCTTTCTTTAAAAAAAAGAAAAGAAGATAATCTAATTATGATAAATTCAAATTTGCCAACTTGACATTAAAATAAAATGAAGTATATTGGCTTTTTTGTTAGTCATTTTTGAGAAGAAAAAGTGTCATAACTAGTGAGTTTACTCATATTTTTGTTAATTTTAAAATTAGTTGAAATGAGTAATCAAGAAGTAAATTAGATAATTTCTTCTTTTAATAAAGAAATAGAGCACATAAAAGGTATTGTACAATTGCGGTGCTGGTTTAAACTATAATAATAGAGGACCTTTGGCAAGAAGCACTATATTTCATGAGATTTTTCAATGCGAATTTGAATGAATTGAGGCTCAAAATAGGTATTATAAATAAAAAGCCTAATAAATAAATAAATACAACAAGAGATATTATTTTTTTCTTTTGAAGGGATAAAAAGAATCTTTTAGTCTTCTACTTGAGACACATGTCCATCCCTGATATTCTCAATCAAATTTTATAGAGTTTCAATTAAGATAAGACAACAATCAATGAATGTGTTATTTTAGTAAAAAATTCTCTCACTAAATTCTCCAATTAAATGTAGCTAATACAACCAAAAAATATTAACTAACATATGATACCAGTATAGTATATAGCTATACCAACAAGGTATACAATTGTACGCAATGAGTTAAAAAAAATTAATTTGATTATTAAACTAAAATAATATCAGTTGTCAATAAAAAATTTAAAAATTCTAAAAGGATCTAATTGTAAGAGTATACCGTTACATCATATAACATACTATAATTTATTTATTTTTTTGCATTTTTCAATTTGACCCTCACACTGGGTAAAAGCTTAAAACAAATTAAAAGGGAAAAGGCAAGTGAATTTACGGGTAATAAGTATACTATTATAGTATATTGTATACTATTGCAGCATATTGTTACATTATCTTGCATATTATTATAGTATACCATAACAATATATTGTATACTATAGTAGTATACTGTTGCAGTATAACTATATACTCCTATAGTATATTAGTATACTGTAGCGGTATACTGTTTTGTAAACTATAATAGTGTACTGTTGCGGTATAGCTATATACTCCTACAGCATATTGTATACCGTAACGGTATACTGTAGCTGTGTTCTTCTTCGATTTTCAACTGAAAATTTCGATCTCAATCACCTCAAATCAGGTCCAAATGCTATCAAATTTCAGTATGAACTTCTAGAAGGTACTAAAGCAATATTTAACAGCACCCACTTTGAATCAAACAAAAAATCTTCAAAAATAAAATTGAGCTTCAAGCCCAACGATGGTGGATATTCAAATACACACAAAAATTTAGATTTAGGAAGCTTACTCGAAGATACTATAAGCAATATTTTATAGCACCACATCGAATCAAACAATAAATCTTCAAAAAAACTATTTTCTTCCTTAAAACTTTACTATAACATATAAACTTGTTACCAGATTATTAGGGCGATTTAGAAGGATAAGATATTGGGGCTTGAGAAGGTGCTTTTGTGATTTGAGCCCCACCGGAATTTAACACAAAAAATAGAAGCACTGCAATAGCAAATAATTTAGATATTTTGTAGTGCAATAAAATGAGAAAGAACTGAATAATGGCCGGGAAATTAGAAGGAAGAGAATAAATAAATTCAGATGATTAATGTGCGATGAACATGAAGGGAATGTTCGGGCAGATATATAGGAAGTGAAACTAGCGGGTAAATTGTTTGGGAAGTATGGGTAAGAGTAGTAAATAGTTTGAGTCTGAGCATTAAAGAGTAAATAATTTGGAATTAATAGGTATAAAATGAGATTTTCTCTATATTATATTATATGGTGATATAGTAGTACTTTATATTTGTTGGGCCTTAAATATTGGGGGCTAACCGGCTAAGGCAAGAGCTTCACTTGCCTTACCCCTTTGCCTCAAGTTTCTTGAAGCGTCAAATTTCGCTCGTCTTCTCCGGCAAAGTTGATACTACTTGCTGGCCCTTTTTCATCGGCAGTGATTTCTCCGCCGTAATTGAGTTGTAAGCACTCTCTCTCTCTCTCTTTCTTCATTTGGTATTTTGCAATTTTAGTTTATTTATCAGGTTACTAGTTGATTTATGCTTAAAATGAACGACTATGAATATCCAAATCTTTTAGAAATGAATAACTGAAATTATTGATAGTGTCAATGTATAACTTAAATGCTTTAGAAATTTGAAAGGTGAAAAATATAAACATGAAATGTTAGGGAGCTGCCACTTCCTAACCGTTCTTGCAAGTTCTCACGGTAGTACAAGCTGAGGTGATAATGTTTACTCTAGATAACGGTGCAGGGGAGCTAGAAATTTTTTGTTTCAATATGTATTAATGGTGAAAAAGTGAGCATAGGTGATTTTTGTTGAAATGTTATTTTCTACAATGTTACATTTGATGTTCTAAACCAACTTGGTTGTATTCAAGGGACGTAGCTCATAAATTAACTTCGACATGTAAGGAGATGAAAATATTTAGCGAATGATGTTGAGTTAAGAATAATGAAGTGAAAAACAGCCTTCAAACTTTAGCTTGGTGACTCTATTTTGTGGCGTCTTGGGTGTCCACTCTCAAGCTTCACACTTCTGTTATTTTTCTAATGTAAAATACCAATTGAACACTCAAGTGTGTTTCGTTTCCTTCTATTGTTTCTATTTCTTCATTCTAGCCTTTTATTTTTTTTTATCTTTGTCGTTTACTTTTCTCCTCCCTCGCCCCAATTGGCACCCATCAAATGTGTGTTTGGGGTAGAAATTTGACAAAGGCAGACGAGGACAAAAAAGGAGGGAGATTAACAAAGCACTAGTATGGTTCGGCGTGGGACTTTTAAGCTGCAATGATGATTGTAAATTGGACCGTGGGAGCTAAATTGAAGTTGTCTGAGTGGGATGACATAATGGGATAATAAAGCTAGACGAGGAGGAAAGAGGAAGAGGAGAAAAAAGAGAAGTAGCAGCAGCAGAACAAAAAGAGATCATAGAAACACGAGGAGGAAACCAAAAGAAAACATATTTACAAATGAAACAAGAATAGAAGAAAATATGAGCTGTTTAGTTGACTTGTGAGGTGGTAGACTGCCAGCTGTAATGGCAGTTGGGAGTTGATGGGAAGACCTGAAGGTACTTGAAGAAGGAGAAGAAGAAGAGGAAGAAAAGGAGATGAATTGAGTCGGAAATAAAGAGAAAAAGAAGAAAGAATAAAATATAACTTCCTCTTTATCCTTAATTTTTGCAGAATGTTAGTGCCAATGAATAGAGGAGTGAAGTGGCATATTATTCTTGTTATATCAGTTTGCAGATAATTGATTCAAATTTTTTTTCAGAAAAATGGCGAAGGGGTGAAAGTTTAAGGTTTCCAGTTTACTCTAGAAGACTAACGAACAGTGTTTGTCTAATTTGTGATTTACATTCATATTGTCGTCTTATTTTAACTTGGTTTCTCAGGGAAAATGCCTCAGTAGTGTTGGTTTAAGTTTGTTTATCACTGTAAAAGACTAAAGAAAGTTCATTGTTTGTCTAATTGTTTGTCTTCGTACATACTTTTTTAAAATCTTATCTTAGTGTAGCTGTGTTGTCTTTTGGCTGTTTTCAGATCGCTTGTGTTTCGGGGTTCGTGATCGTGCACCATAGACTAGATCTCGCTACTATGGCATCTCTCTCATGGTGGAATCCTGCTCCTGCCACGACAGCAATGGCAGCTTGTTCTCCAACTCCGACGTCCTGTAAAACCTCTAACTCATTAGCACTGCCACGCCCTGTGTTTGTCAGCAAGCAGGCAAAGTTAATGAAACAAGCCAAGGGTCTTTTGGTTAAAACACAGCAACAGTCAAAGAAAAAGAATCATTCATTCACCAATTCCAGAAGTAATACCAGCATTCAGTGTCTCTCACAGGAACAGAAATGGACTCATGAAGGTTCCATTACCGAGTCTCTCCCTAATGGCATGTTTAGGGTCAAGTTGGATAACGCAGATGTGGTTCTGGGATACATTTCTGGGAAGATACGAAAGAATTTCATACGATTGCTACCAGGAGACAGAGTCAAAATTGAAGTAAGTCGGTATGATTCCACTAAGGGACGCATCATTTATCGTCTCCGTGGTGGTCGAGAAGGCTAGGAGTCAGTGGTGGTGGAAGGCTGTTTTGTAAGTGTCCATCTTGGCTGATGAACCACCATTCACCTGTTCCTGCCCTTGCTTATGAGAAGAGAACCGAGAATGTATATTCATATACTTGGATATTCATAGGCATTTACTTTTGTTCTTGATGTTTATGTTTTGATAGTAAACTAAGTCTGGAAAAGCAAAACTTGTGTATCTTCTTGCTATTCTCTTGATTATTTATTGGCAATTTAGGAATCATCTTGCATGGAACTAACTGAATGTTAGTAAATGTTATTATAGTAGCAGACTTTTGTTGCCTATTTTGAGTTCATCCAATAGTAAACAACAAAGTTCACTTTGCAATTCATTTCTCAGAAAGAGATATTAAACCCAACAAACTCTTTGTTCTCGTTTCCATTGGCTAAAGGCAAACGACATGTCGC